GCTCCCAAATGTCCCTATTTCCAGTTACTCATATGCATCAATAAATAATCACGGCAGAAACTAATTTACACCTGACCACATGTTCTAAGATTCTAAAACTATGCCTACACAAAAAGATAAGCTTCAAATATTCAAAAAACTGTCAAGGTGGATTGCAGCCTGGCTCTTTGCTAAGAGCGTCACACAGCATTCCTATTTCTCACAATAACCTTAAGAGGAAGAACTATCATGTGCCCATTTTACAGATGAAAATTCGATTTAAAGAGCTTAGTCACATGCCCAGAGACATACAATGCAAGAGTGGGAGGAGTCAATCTGTAGTTAAAACTCACTGTTCCAGGGAGACAGGCCTCCTGAGGAACTAAGAACTGCGGGTCTCAAATATCCACTAGCCTGCTGCTGGTCAAAGATACTAACAAGGAGAAACAGAGCAGATAATTAGGCCTGATCATGCCTGTGCCGCCCATGGGGCTGGCTGACCCCTGAGAAGATTCTTTGTTGCACTAACTGATACACAGCACCCAAAGGTGCCAGCTTTTTAGTCTCCAAAAGATTTCTCTCAGGTCCCATAGTCTCATAGGGAACAGAATGGAACCCAAGGAGTTTCTATTGCACATTTGCAAAATAGTCCATTGACAGGGATTTTCATCTTCTTTCATTTCAACACACCCCGCTTCATTATGGGTACTTTTACGATCACCTGCTTTTTACAGAGGAGGAAACAGAAACACAGCTTCACAAAGGTCACACAGCGGCTGTTAGTAGGGTGGAGCCTGGCTCCATTTCGGCTCTTACTATGAACAAGCACCTCTTCTTCAGGATGAAACACGGGAGTGACACAAACCAAAGCTGTCTTCAGGAGCAGGACCAGAGGAACAGAGCTCAGCATGGTGAAGACTGAACCAACAATTTAGAAAACTCCAGAGTAGGGGCAAGACCGGCCAGCTGTAACCTGTGGGCTCCATCTCCCCCTCTCCACCAGCTGCCCAGCCCCCTGCCCCCTGTCCTGCAAGTGACACACTCAGTCTCTGGCTCCAACAGCAGCCCCTACACTTCCACTTGATGCAAATTAGGCTTATAAATCTTGCTTTGAGAATTATCAAGGTTTACTATAAAGTTTCAGGACATGAATCTTGATACATGAATTATCTGTAGTCCTTTCTTGCCTGCAATTTCTGTTCTAGCCCAGTGTTTCTCAGAGCCTGGTCTGACCAAAATCTCAAGGACAGTTTATTTAAAATGAGAGTTCTTAACATTCATTCTAAACCCAACAACAGAGACCTCTGAAGTAGGGCTGGAGGCTATACACCTGGACCCTCCTGTTAGTGATTCCTATACACACCAAAATCTGGGCAACATTATCTACCCTTGAAAAACCAAGCTCTAGCAACAGTGTATGTTGGGATTCTGTTGCAAGCTTTCCTTCTCTCCAGAAGGTGCTTTCTTCCTAAGCAACTCCCACTGCAATCACAACTGCATCTCTCATTATCTGGAGAATAATTATCTCAGACTGGCTCTTAAACATTCTAGAAATCTACTTCATTTTTCTAAACTTTCTCCTACTCCAGTGTTTCTAAAATGTCTCCCCCATATCACTGACTATTTCAAGAGGCACCTGAAATGAACTTTTTTCTTTTTCTTTTAGAAACCATGTACTTATTTTAAGGTGAACAAAGTAAAAATATATATAACTATAATATCCCAATCTGTGATTGCATGAATACTGGGGCTTAAGTGAAAATAAAAGAAGCAATGTTTTAAAAGATGAAGAATAGCACTGGCAGTGTTTTTAAAAAGCTTTGGAATAAGGATACTTATCCTGCCTGGTCCTTTCTAAAGGGCCCTTCAGCATCAACTATGCTTCTCCAACTGCCAACCATGGGTCTTCTCTGCCTCATTCCAGCTGTGCTCCTGTCCTTGGGGCACCATCCTCTGTCCTTGGACATCATCTCTTCTAAACACCTCTGAGGACAGTTCCCACCACTTCACAGCCAGTCCATGCCTCCTTCCAGGAACCCTCCAGGATTCCTCCAACTGTCTCACTTATCATTCTCCCTTTCTGAAGTCCCTTAACATCTGGTGCCACTCACTTAGCACCTAATTGTAACTGGAATGTCTATATGTTATCTCTTTTGTATCATTTCCCTAATGACATGGAAGCTGGAGAGCAACCTAGGGTCTCTCTCCCCTCTGGATCAGACCGTTAACACATCCTTGGTTAGCTGAGCACAAAACAAGAACTCAGTGAACATGTGCAACTTCATGCAGTTGAATGTAGTTCTCTGCAGCAAGACAGCAGCTGTTTCATGCCCTCCCTGTCTCCTTACTTCAGGCGAGATATTTTAGCCACACCCAAGAAAGGATGTATCTCTTCATCACTGCTAGAGAAAAAGCAGAGGCCAGAACCCAGGGAAAGTGTGTGTGTGTGTGTGTGTGTGTGTGTGTGTGTGTGTGTGTGTGTGTGATGGGAATGGGAAAGGTGACCTGAATCAGCCCATCTGCACTTTGTCTGCTTCCAAGGACCACTCACCTCTGCTAATGTGTCCCCTCCCTCATTCTGGAGAAGCCAGCACAGTCACAGCTTCTTCTAGAAAATGACTCTAGGTGAGCAATCAAAACCAGCTCCACTTTTGATCTATCCCTTGATTTTGACCTTTTCATATTTCAAGTTTTTTAACCAATTCAATAGCTGTCATACTTAATTCACACTTGCTAAAAGCCAAAGAGATAATGATTTTAAAAGCACTTTCATGGCCCTCCCTAGCGGGTGCAGCAGGTTAAAGCACAGCACTAAGAAGCTTAAGCCACTTCAGCATGAGTTCGATCCCCGCCTGCCCCGGAGGAGATCCACATGGCGCGGCAGACCTCTCCTGACCTGCCCACTGCTCCCCTCAGCAGTGTACTTTGTCGATCTGCCTGTTCTGCTCCCCGCTCTGTCTCTGGTGAATCCTCTCACCCTCTGCATCTCTGGCCTGTACCCCAGTTCTGTATGAATAAATAAATAAATCTTTAAAAAAAAAAAACACACTTTCATTTACCTTGTACAATAAAAACATCAGGGACACCACAGATGAATCTGCAGGTTGACTAGAAAGTGAGGGAGCTCAGTTCTTCACTGGACCATGGATGGGCAACAGGAGGTGCAGATCTTACTTCCAACTCTCATACTTGTCATGTGGCCTGGGGCTCCCATTTAAATTTCTAGGGCTCAATGCCCTTATCTGTAGTACTTGCGCACCGAATGATCTGACCTAAGGTCAAGTCCTATGTGACTGTGAGAACCTTAAAGCATAATATCCAAACCAGACTAGTACCCACAATACACTGAAAATGCTCAAGAGTAGGAGTGGTAGCTTGACACACCAGGGGTTCGGGAGGGGTAGCAAAGCATCACTAGAGAGATTCAGTCACCTCTCTCCCTCCAATGAAAATCTACATTGTGAATAAATGTCCATCCTACCTGCTCTCTGCCTTACTGCCCAATTCCCCATCTCCTCATCACCACAGTCTTGTTTTTGCCTTCTCCTTCCTTCCTGTCCTAACCACCCAAACCCACAGGTTTTAAGTGTCATGGTCTGGCTCTGAAATTAGTTATCCCTTCAGCTCCCCCTCAGCCATGCACTGTTTTCACAAGTGATAGGACCAGTGGCCTTGTGTGGAAAGGACAAGGGGGATGAGTGAAGACCCATGGTGGGAGGGAGACAGCGGGAAGGGACGTTGGGGAAATGGCACAGCAAGGCACCACGTTCACTGGGTTCCATAAACTTTGCCTGCTTCCCAAAGAGTAAGCCCTGATCTCCAGGGTTGTACGTGGTGGGATTTGTGGGAGCCTCCCTGTGAGCCCTGTAACCATGGTTTCATGTAGACTGCCTCACAGCCTTGAGCATGAAGAGAACAGACTTGCTCCTATTTTCCCCTACAACTCCAGCTCTGGAAAAATATGAAAAGTGATATGCCAAGGTGATTTGCACAAAACCGCTGACCCTAAAACAATCATGAAGCTATTTGTTTTCAGTAATTAGAAGGTGGTTCTGCTACCTCCATGAGGATCTGCTACCTCTCACTAGCTGGAAAATATATACACCCAGAGCCACACCTGCTTGGTGGATGTAATGAATCTGGAAATGCAGAAATCATTTCCCAACTTAACGCCTCCCCTCCACGAAGAGCTAAAAAAAGGTGGCTTTTCCCAGCCTCCCTGGGTGCAGACCTAGGTTGAGTGCTTTGGTTTCTAGCACATAGAGGAGGCCGGCCTATTTCCAAGTCCCAAATATTTTGTCAAAGCGATCAATTAACACCATCTCGGTTTCTTGAAAATCAAAACAGATAAACAACACAACTTTCAGTGGGATGCAAAGCACAGGGCTGCCAATTACTCACAAGGGCCAATTTTAAAATACAGTAGCCATTCTGTATGGGTGGGCAATCCAGTGGGCAAAACAAATTCAAGCTGGGCTGATGTGTTGGGAACCCGGGAGTGACATCCTACAGGAGAACACATGTTGTCTGTATGTCAAAGATGGGCTAAGCACCATGGAACAGAATATAAGCTAGCTTCGCCTGGGAGGGAAGACTAAAGCAGCTTCTGGCTAGGCTACACACAACAAAGCCAGGACATGCAAGAAGTGTCCAGTCTAAGGCTCCACGTGCCTGCTCAAGGACCGAAGAACCCACGGAACCCATGTGCACACTATTTCACACAGCCAGTCCACCTGGGGAAGGCACTGGATTCTCCTGCCACCTTCAGCACCAGCGGCCAGGGCTCTCCCAGCTGCTGAGGAATCCCTGCCTGAGGCGGGGGCCATACCCTTGACAAGTCTTCCTTGCTCCACAGCCCACTTCTCTGCAACTATGAAGTAGCCTGCGCAGCCCCAAGGTAACTGAGACACATGCACCCAGGTAGCAATCGGTCCCAGCGCCCCAAGCCCAAAGCCAAGGCCAAGAGTCTTCCCCCCAGGACCCTACAGCCTGGCTCCTGGACCGGGAGGCGCCGGACTTACCCAGTCCTCGAAGTGGCGGCTCCCGTTCTGCAGCAGCTCCTCAAACTGGATGGTGCAGTTGGCCACGAAGTCGTCGTAGCCGATGGGGGCATCGTGGAAGACCGCCAGCTCGATCTTGCGCCCGTTGCACACATCGGTGACGAACTCGTCGTGCCAGGCCGGGCTGTTGGTCTTCTGTTTGGTGGCCGTTTGGCCGATGCGCGAGTCATCCACGTTGAGGGCGATATAGGGGTCCAGGAGGAAAGTCTGCGGTCGGGGTCCCACCGCATGGCGCAGAGACCAGGCTGTGGGCTTCAAGCTCACGGCCTCACAGATTTTGATCTTAAGAAGGCCATTGAACACTACCATGGTCGGGGCGGGGAGTGGGGGGTCGGGATCACTCCGTCCGCCCCGAGGGCAGGAATGAAGAACCGACGCCGGGGCGCTGGGTCCCCTGTCACCCCACCCCACAGTCTCCCTACACCTTGTCGTGGAGCGTTCTGGCTCCGGCGATTCTCAGCGAGTGCATGTATTTCCTCGCTGGGTTCCTAACGGAAAACAGGGAGGGGGGGAGAGCTGGGGGACGTCCGCGTTTGGAGCAAGCCTCTCCCCCCCCCCCACCACCAGCAGCACCTCCAGAAGAGACGAGCTGTCGGCTCTGCCGCGAGCCGCGGGGGCTGTCTGGCCGCCTCGCAGCCTCACGGGTCTGGACTGCGGGGAAGCGGGGAAGCGGGCGCCGCTCCCGGCGCTTACCTACCTTTCGGAAACATAATCCCCGGGAAATTTCGACTCCGGGAGGGGGAGGGGGCGGTGGGACGGGGCGGGGACAAGAACCGGGGGCGCAGATTTCAACCCGGATCCTCTTCGCACACCCAGCGCCTGCCCCTGACCGCGCGGAGCGGGGGATGGACCGAGGGATGTTCAGTTTATCCGGAGGGATGCATGTCGAGAGGAAATGGTCCTCCTCGGAGCCAAATTTTTAAAAATCCACAAGCCACACAGCCAACCCAGCCGCCGCCTCTGGGACGAAGTAGCGCAGCGCCGCGGTCGGCGGTCGGCGGGCGCCGGGAGCCGGGAATCTCACATCCGCGCGGGCTCGGAGTCCGTGGCCGCCGCTGGGGCTCGGGG